TTTCCCTATATGTAGAGTGTTGATAGTGTGTAAATGAAGTGATCAAAGCTGAAAGTCTGTTTACCTACTTGAGATAATAATTCACTTTTTCCATTAAAATTTAAAATTTTCAGTTTGTGCTTTATCAGATTACTAATCTTCCCTCTATTTCTGTATTTCAACTATTATTTGTAAAGGCCCTTGTATTGGAATTTTTTCCCTTCATGCTAGTTTCTTGGTGGTTTGTTTGTGCAGATGAGGGCAGTGAAGTTGAAAGTGAAATAGATGAAGAGCTGGATGAAAATGGAGAGCCACAAGCCAAGAGGGAGAAAACAGAGTTAAACCAAGCGTTCCAGGTGGGCTGCATGCAGCCAGTGCTCGAGAGTGGAGTACAGCAGAACCTCCTGAACCCAATTCATAATGAGCACATTGTTGCAACTACTCAGACTATCAGACAATGCAGTGCTACTGGAAATACATATACTGCAGTCTAATATGAAACCTACACACACACACCCCAATCCATTAGTCCTTTGCATTTAATACGAAAAAAATAATAAAGAGAATAAGTCTGAAGTTCGACTGTTGTCAAATTTTAGCTGTGCTGAACATTATTTTATTGAAGTTGTTAAATGGAATGGGTGTATGTATTTTGCCAGGTCTGTTAAAAAAAAAAAAAAAAAAAGGATTTTTTGTAAACAGAATCATTTTACATTGGCCGCTCAATAGAAATAGTTTTCTTAGTATCAAATGCAAGGAAAATTTTTGCGAAGTTTAATGTTATTGTATTTGTCCTCTTACAATAATTTAAATTTTTTCATAGTTTTAAAAAATATTTTAATGTTAATTATTAGTTATTATGATTATTTCATGTACATAGATTTTTAATTAGGTGCACTTCTGTGAAATATCAAAAGAACTATTTTTTTTTATTTACACTGGAGGCATACTTATTTGACAGCAGATGTATCAAATTTGTTATAAAAGGTGCTTTTCATTGGACAACTAGAAGACACTATTTTGATAAAATCGTGAGCATTCAGGGGGATTTTTTGTAATAATGCTGGAGGATTGGGAAGATCTCCTAATTTCTTTCTGTAAGAAAGAAATGAGTTAAAGTGACAGAATTGTAACAGAATGTGGTGATGTGTACATCATAAATTAATTAATTATGTGACCATCGTGTAAACAATGCAAGCTTCCTTTAAAATCAACAGTTCCAGATACTATTTGCAGACCAGTTCCTCTGTTTTGAAGACTACTGATTCTATATGTTGGGCCACTGAACAGGTGCTTTTGGCTGTTGAGTGGAACTGTAGTTGTTAGAAACTGAAGCTAAAAAAGAAGTTACTTGATTATTATTAATAATTTTAAGTGTACGTGCTACTTATGCTGAACTGGACATACAGGAAAACATTCCATTTGGATGACTTTCTTCTATTCCAGGTCTTTTTCCTACTAGTGGTTCAATCTGCTGCTCTTAGAAAAGATGATTTATAGAATGCAAGGAATGTAGCAACCTGCATAATTTTCCTTTCAAAAATACTTCCTTGTTGTTAAAGTGGATTTAAATTTTTACAAAAAAATTAGATAAGGCAGTGTAACTGGCACACCTCACTTGTACTTATTCCCAATTGTGTAGAATTTGAATAGGTGGCTAGATGGACCATTGCCATTTAAGAATGTACATCAGGGATCATTGTACCTCGGCTATTACATGGTGCCTTAAACAGAACTGAAGCTAAGACTTAGTACTTTTTGTTCTTCTTAACTCTTAAATTAATTCAACAAGGTGTGCCTGTCATTTTCAAATTCCCTAAGAAGTAAGGACAGGTTACATAGCCTTCAAAAGAATAAAAGGATTTTTTTATTGTTAAATGATTTTAATATCCCTCTTAGAATGACAAGAAACCTATTTTTTCTCGTTTCTAGCTGGATTTCACTTTATTACAAATAAAATTTGCTTGGGAGTTTGGAAAGCAAAACTAGCTTTAATACCAACTTCAAATGTCACAATAGGTTGACCATAGTCCCAAGCATGATTATATATTTTCTAAACCCTTGTCTACTTTTAATTTCAAAAACTAAAAAGAAATAAATGAGCAGGTACATAATGCAGTGCATGTTTCCAATTTCTATATTTTGTGGGGTATCAGCCAGATAGTACATTTCAATAGTTAAATAAAGACAGTTTATAGAGACCATATTAATTGACATTAAACAGCTCAAGTTTTTCTTTCTAAACATTTCATTATGCAGACACATGAATTTGCTACACTAAAATAATGGAATCAAATAAGCAAAAAAGCCAAAAAGTGAAGGAGAGCACAAGAAGATCATCTTTACAGAAAAGACTGTGTAAGAAAATTAGGGCTTCTTTTATTTTGGTTTATCTAGTGTGTCTGAAAATGAGTTTAAAGTTACATATACCAAATGGGAGAAGAGCATGTAAAATGAACAGCGTATTTATAGCAAACAAATTTGTTGCTAGAGTTTACATATTCTCCAAATACAGCTGCACATCAACTAAAATGTCCTAACATTATTGGTGTACAAAATTAAATTTTAATACCTTTTCAGAAATGGGGGATGAACCCATCCTACTCATTCTATGTAGGCTTAGTTCCTACTAATGTCAGGAGATGGCTTTTGCCTCAGTAAAAAGTGAAAGTGAGGTTTATATTAATTATTTCTGAACTCATAAATGCACTGAATCTCATTACAGATTTTGTTCTCACTTATAGTGCTCGGTGTGCCCTGATTTTTCTTAGGAAATCAGCACATCTGTACCTTTCACCAAAAATGCTAAAACTAAGCTGTGATAAATATTTGCTCCCCTTCATTGTGCATTATAAGATGTTTACAAGTAAAATAAACTGAACTAATTCAACTTTTTATTATTATTATTTTCAGCTTTTTTTTTTAATATTGTAGTACTTATTTCAATGTTTGTGTTGACAGACCTGTAATGTTTTCTTATTACTGTCCTTTCTTGGTTTAATGTTGGATTTGTTGTTGCTGAGAAGAAAGCATGATTGTAATAAGTAAATCTAGATTGCTAAAAGAGGTGGGACCTGAGTATCTTTCATGATCTAGCTCCCCACTCCACTCAGTTGTTTGCTGTTCAAAACATGCAAAAGAAAGCTAAACAAAAATCTGAATACAAAAATGGAATGTATTTCATAGCTTCTAAAAGAACGAGTTAGCAAAACCGATTGGAACTATCCCAGATGGAGAAAACTGAATGGAGTCTGTATTCCTATGCTTAAATTCTGAAGATTTTACCAGATTTCTTTTAGAAGAACTATGATACTGTGAGCTGAATTGTATACTTGGAGATTTGGGGGTCTTCTGTTGTGTTTTTTGCATTTACTAAAATTTTAATCAAACACTTAGATAAAACATTTTGCACACTCTTGCTATTTAGTAGTTGGGTTTTAGTAATCATTAAACTACAGAGATACGAATACCTCAGTCCATATTCTATAAAGTGTAGCATGCAGTGGCATTGCCATACCAGCTCTGAAATCTATTGTTAGTGCTCTGGAGAGGTGTAGCATGTGTCCACAGAGCAGACGTTAGAAGGGTTGATATGGTGTATGTGTTTATCTAATCTTGACATGGAATCCAAAATAATTATCTTAAAGTCATTCCCTGCATAAGAACAAATAGCACAGTGAACAGTGGGAGGGAAGGGTTATTGTTGAACTACCTTTTCAAAACACAGGGCCCAATTTTCAAAAGTTTTATATTTATTGAAACGTGTTGGTACATTTTCATCTTTCTCACAGTAAGTCAGTTTTAAACGTTTCGGGTTTTTTCTGTTTTGAATTATTTCTGTGTTTTGCTCTTGTACTGTAGCATGCTCTAAGCACCTTCTTTTTAAAAAATTCCATAAAAATTTGCAAAATAGATTTTAAATTATTCCTCTATACAATTAAGATTTACAGCATTACTGCCTTTAGTTGAAAAGAAAGAAAAAAGATAATATTCTGTCATTCAGGAATGCATAGGTCTACACAAAAAATTAATTTAAAGCGAGTTATTTTGAAATATCTAAACCATTTTTTTGTTTACTTTGTTTTCCCTAGGAGAAGTGTTTTGATTTTTTTGTCATTCTCACCAATTGACATCTGCACTGTTTGGAAAAAATACTTTATTAGCGATGCACTGCAATCCAGTTTAATTCAGAATGTTTTTACAAAATAAAAACAACCATTAATAGCCATAAAAGTACTGACAAAAAATAGATATATTAGTAATGTAAGTATGTTTTGGTATTCATATATAACAGTAATTTCAGAGTTTAACACATTCATTTGAGAGAACAGTCTGAATTTCTGAAAACTGGGCCCTTGTCTCTCTAGCAGGACATCCTCTCTATATGGTTTATAATAGATCAGTTAATGGAATCATAGTATCTCTGTTAATTTGTTTCTGATTTAAAACAAACAAACAATAAAAACTGGAATAGAAGCATAAACACACAGTGCTTAGTTCTAGTATTAGAAAATTAATTTGATAGAATACCTTGCATTAACCCTTTGAGCATTGTAAGTAGCATGATGTGAACTAGGCCTTTTAGACAATTAGTCCATTGAGCATATATTTTGAAATAGCTGGTAGTGTTCCAGATGGTTTTTTATTATTATTTCTGAAGTAAATACTTGCATACTATAAAGGAATTATTTTTTATAGTAGGCTCAATAGATGTAGGCAAAATACTCACTGCCATTGATGTGTACTGTCTAAAAGAAAACAGTACTTCAGCTCACTTGTTTTCATAATTGCATAAATATATAAAGAAAATCAAGTATATGTTTCTGCAGATACGCAGTTTAAGATGCCTTTAGAAGATAAAGGTTTAGAAAATGTATTCAGACTCTTTTGAAAATCTCCTAAAGTAGGTTAGTATTGGAATCCTCTAGTACTGTAAAAAGAGAATCTTTAGGATTAAAAGAAGGTTTAGTGAAGAATAAATTTTTCAGAATATTTGGTATGTTTGCATTGAAATTTTTGGCAGTGTTTTTGATAAAACAAGTACAAAAAGTGGGGGATAATGTTGATATTTCTCTATAAAAATTCAGTCACTGCAATAATGACTAGCTAAAAGGTGAAGATGTTTTATTCATCTTCATCTACAGGGGTGCAGTTTGGATAGCCCCTATTGAATGTCATAATTTTAAAAGCAACCTAGAAATTGCACAAGCTTTTTGCCATTTTAAAAAGCCCCTTTGTTCTTACAAATACTGCTAACAAGAACAAGGGAACAAGTGTAGTTAGCAAGTAGAGAGTCTTTATCTTACAAACAGACATGCCACCTTACTAAGTGATAGTACATTTTTCTATTGATTTCTTGCAATATCAATCAGTTAGCAAACAGTAAGTGCAGCTATACTTACTTAAGTCTAGCTGAGGATGAAAGGAAAGGGTCTTAATGGAATTACATCAGTAGTATAAGTACAGGTAAATGGTAAACGTTTTTAGTCAGCTCATGCAAATTCATGCATAATTAATAACAAATGCAATACTCAAAGGGTTTTAA